AGCACGCAGTTAGGCACTCTCGCCGGGTGTTACAGCCCGGACCTATGACAGCTGCTGCAGCACGCAGTTAGGCACTCTCGCCGGGTGTTACAACCTGGACCTATGACAGAACTCACAGCCCGGACCAGTGACAATTGCGGCAGCCCGGACCTGTTTCCTTATCACGGTTCTCGTCTGCCTCCAATCCTAGCTCTCGATTGCCCCGATTACTACCACCAGTACTCCGTTCCGGTCGCGGATCTCGTGCTCTCCCTCTATCCCACGAATCCCTCTGTCTAGGTAAACCTCCCCTTCGGAGTTGGCCAACAAGGCCGCGCCTTTCCGGATCTGCAGTACACCCGTGACAGGATCTCTATGCTTGCGGCAGATCGCGGTCCCAAGCCTAGCCAATGTCTCCGGATCAGCTCCCCTCAAGAGCCTCCGTGCGTCTATCTCCGTCCTCCTTGCTAGGTTTCCTGGCCCGTCCTGAATCGGGTAGCCTGCTAAAGGAGGAAGCTCCCCTCCTACTGCCATCCAAAGTCACTCGTCGTCCTTTCTAGCTCCCACTATCTTTCCAAGAGCTTTCAATCTCTATTTCGCCTCCTTCAACTCCCAGACGGCTATGAGGTCATCTGTCTAGCACCTTAGGTAAGTCAGTGCTATAACCACTCGTAACCTCATCGCCGACAACTCCAATATGTCATAGAATGTTTCAAAATCCTCCTCATCTCCACTATCTTCTATGGCCTCTAAAGTCTTTATCGACTCCCTCCAATACCATTCGTGAGCAGCTAGCACCCTGAGTATTGCACCGTTTGTCACAACTCTCCCTAGCTCTCCAGCTTTCCTGGCTTCGCTTATCTTCAATTTCTCAGCCTCCCTGGTCGTCTCGTACTATGCCCTTATCCGAGACCGCCCTTCGAAAGGTGTTACTCGGAGTACGTATTTTATCCTCCGTCCTCCTTCTATTCCAATCCAAAGTCCTGTTCCCCTAGCCTCACGCAGCGCACGACGGACACACTCTGCCTCCTCAACTATGCACAGTCTGGTATGGAGCTGGAGCTCTACGATCACTAACACCAATGGTCCGTCCAATGTCCTTACCACATACAATGAGTACCGATCCGTCGTGTGTACTGCAGTCCCGCTCATGTCTCGTCGCTACCTCCGTGTGTTACCTTATCCTCCGTTGTCACGCCCTCTGCAGATCGCTCACTAGTTCCTTCGCGTGATACGCTCCTAGCCTTTACCCTCTCCAGAAAGTCTGATCTCTACGCCTGGATAATCTCTCTTTCCTCCTTAAACAGACTCTCTAACTCTCTCGTCACGAGCTCAGCCCTTCGCAACTTGTCCTTATCCTGGCACGACCAGATCTCCCTTAACTTGTTCCCCAACTCCTTTACCTGGTTCAAGAGCGGTTCTTTAATGCGCTCTCTCACTCTTCCAACGGCCTCACTCTCCTCTTCCATACTCAGTCCTCATCTCTTTCCAGCTCATCCTCTCACCCTCGCTCTAGCCTCCGCTACCGTCTCGTCGTGGAAGTGGTCTGCACGCATATAACCATGTGACCATATCATCACCTCATAGGAAATCGAGGTCCGGAAGGTCACTCGCGCCAGTACATCAGCTCTATGCTCGTGGATCAAATCCCTGGCTCGTTGTCTGCACTCCCTCGTTGTCAAGTCCTCATCTATGTACGCTCAGAGTAGTACTGTCACAGTGTACCCTGTGCTTACCAGTTGCTCTCCAACACGCATCACTGTGGCCGTCCTCCCCGGCATTCCCTAAGTTGTGGCCTCGAAGAGAAACCTCATATCCTCTAGCCCCACGTAATCGATCTCCGCCCATCTCCTGCAGTACCTAATCAGATTGACTGGCCTCAGACAGTCCACCCAGCCAGTAACGTCTATGATGTCGTCAAGCGTCTCTCTATCGGGCGGTCCCCACCTCACACAAATGGCGTAGTATACTTCTCTGAAACGGGGCGCTAAGCCCTCCCAGAGCGCGTAAAGTGTGTGGTCCACTACTCTACTCAAACGATCTACGCTCCCATAGGTCTGCCCTATCACGAAGGTAGGAAGTCCGAATCGCCAATCCTCTCTCGGGTAGAGGGTCGGGTGCGGAGGACCGTATACCAACCGGCTCCAACGCGTCCTCCCTCCAGAGAATCTCGCTAGTTGTTGATTAACGATCACTCTGGCCAACGACTCGCTCCTCCACCAACTCCTGCTCGCCCCTGCGAGCGTCAGTCCCATCTCTAAATCGTGTGCTCTATCCGCTATCAGATGTCCGACCCCTTCTAGATCATGAGTCTTCTCGGGTCGTTCGTCTCGTAGTAGCACTGTCCAAAGGAAGAGTCCCTCTGCGAGCCACGTTCCCAAGTATCGTATCGGAACACGCCCTGTTCCTTCTAACGCCACAGGAAGTGGAATGTCGTATCCAACCGCCGTCTCTCTGGGTCTCACAAGCTTCCTCACGCTATACGATTCGGACTCTCGTGAGAGAACATAGGCTAACCAGGCTACCGAGTCACTCCTCATCTCCCCTCCGACTTCTCGTTCAGCATCACTCTACTCCCTCCGATGCACCCTATCTCTCGACGTTGCTAACTCCTCAGACAACTCTTGCACTCAGGTCTAGTATGGTCGAGTAGGTGTTGTGCCCTCTCCCGTCCGCTCCATGGAAGTAGATAGTAAACTCGACATACCTCTGGCTCCTTCGTATCTCCAGGGCATGTTCCGTCATGAGTCCGATCTGTCGCTCAACAATCTCTAACGCCTCTCCTTCCCAAGCACCCGTCCTATCTCGCCGCAGGAAAAAAGTCACCCTCAATATATCCCGGTCTGCCATATTCTCCACTACTCCCTTCTCTAAACCTCACTCGGATATGTCCTGCCTCCAATCGTCTCATGCATCTGGCATATCCTCATCTGTGTCCTCATCTAGCCTCCGACCCCATGGGATATCCTCCTGTTCCTCGACCTGAAGGAGATGCCCCCAACCGTCCTCCTGCGGCGCCTCTCCACCTACCTGCTCCTGTCCCTCAGACCGCGCCAGATCTCCCCAGTCCTCGTCCTGGTCGCCCCAAGGGTCTATGCCATCGAAGTCCTCCCAATCCCGATCCTCGGCGTACCACGCAAGATCGCTAGCCTCTAGATATACCTGCCGGTAATACCCCTCAACCTCCCCGGTCGAGATGAGATGGCCCGGCCTCTCTTCACGAGTCTCGACTAGCAGCTGTCCCACACCAACTAAATGATCAGTTGGCCTCCGAGCCTCTCTCTCTAGCGCCGTCCAGAAGGCTAGGGGCTGGTACAGAGAATACAGGTCAGGGCTCTCGGTAGGTACAATGGCCCGCAGGAACTCAATCAACTGGAGCCCTCGCTCGCTTACAAGCGGCCCTGCTACAAACTGCGCATACAGCACCCAGTCCCTGTCAC